GATATTTTCCACAGACGATCATTAGGTTGATCAGAACAAAATTACAATGTTCATTCCTTTTGCTCAGACATGCATTCATATTTGACTTGTGATATTTAATTACAAAATAATAGAGTCAGGTAAACTTCCCTGATTAAAATACCCTAACCCCAAGATGTAAATGACCCCGTAAAAAATTATAACTGCGTAAAAAAGAAGTGTTTACATTCCGATAACATGAATCATGTAGTATTATTATTCGGATTTAGAGAAGTGAATGCGGTTTGTCACCAGGAGTGGGCGGGCGACTGGTTGGCCTGCAGAAATGTTTACATCGGCTAAGTGATCCGTGGGCTCTACAAGTTTGGGAAACGCTCCTCGAGACTAAAACTAACAACGAAACAATTTGTACTTTTATATTTACCGGGTAAGGCCCAATGAGGCTATGCAGCTCTTTTTCAGAAGGAACCTGGCTATCACAAATGATAAACTCAACGAAGTGGCTTATCATCATGTGGATATTTTTAGCACGAAAAGAGTATAAATGCTTTATGTTGATTCTAAATGTGGAGGGAAAAACCGAAGGACCCGAAGAAAAATCCACACGACCACAGTGAGAACAAACTCCAAATATTCAGCAGGCGTCAGGGTTGCGATCGAACCCACGACCTCCTGCACACCAGGCGAGGTAGTTAACATCTCGGCGTGGTAAGCCACTTTGTTGAACTATCATTTGTGGTCAGGCTCCTTATGAAAAAATACTAATAGCTCAGTGGGCCTTACCTGGTAAAATAAAAAATAATTTAGTTTAAGTCCATTTATTTTTTCGAGATTTACTTACCTTGCCTATAGTTTGCCCTCCTATCGCGTTTTTGCATTGTTGGTTATTAATTATCATTATTGCTTCATTCAATCACTCATTCCCTCCAGAACCAACGCACCAGTCTCCCTGACGCTCTCTTAATGACCTCCTGGCCCAGCCGTTTCTATGGACGCCGTTGCTAGGCTGACGATGTGCCCTCGTGGTCATCACAGAAACGTTATTTTTGTAGTCCACAGTGCATTGGTTATTCTTGGTTCTTTCGGTAAAGTCACGTAGAAGGGAAACAATAAAATAAAAAATATAAACAATAAAAATCTCACGACGTTTCGACTGCAACACAAGCAATCAATTTTTTTTATTTTCTTGCTGTGGTTTTCACACCTGATGATGATTGCTTGTGTTGCAGTTGACACGTCGTGAGATTTTTATTATTTTTATTATTTTATTGTTTCCCTTCTACGTGACTTTACCGATAGAACCAAGAATATGAATCCTTGCAGTCACGAAAGCTTTAAATCAAAATTTAGTACGTTGTTTTTTTTTTTTTTTGGGGGGGGGGGGGGGGGTTCACTCATAACTTAGCAACGCAAGGTAGTGGACTATTTTGTTGTTGTTTGTACACACCCAAATACGACTGTGCTTTCAAGACGATACCAAATTATATATATATAAACACGTGAATTTGCATAAACCAACCAACAAACTGGGGGTGGGATTTCGATTTAAAGCTTTCGTGACTGCAAGGATTCATCTTCTTTGGTTCTGTCGGTAAAGTCACGTAGAATGAGAATAAAATAATAACTAAATAACACGGTTAAATTCTCACGACGTTTCGGCCACAACACAAGTGGCCTTCTTCAGGTGAAAGGAACAGACCTGTCGGGACGACAGAGCTATTAATTTATTATTTTATTCTCATTCTACGTGACTTTACCGAAAGAACCAAAGAAGATGGGGGTGGGATGTATATGTATACACAGTTTATATACAGCTTATATATTGTATCAAATATATTCTCATCCATGTATCGTGAGCTTAATGATTAACTCATTTTACTTATATTCTCCATTCTTTGCCTTGGTTACGTGTATTTAAGTTTAGGATAAATTTAAAAATTTTCGTGTTTAACCCTCAGCATGGTGGCTACGTACCGTGCAAAATAAGTTCGACATGCATACATACATACGAAAGGGGTTGGCTCTCTTATACCTCATTCATCTGCTGAAACCTTATGAACCTTTGTGGCGATGCCACTCAAAAGAATCCAGCCACCTGTGTGTGCCTTGGAGAAACCTGCGCTCAATGGGCAACATGCGCTATGAAGCCCTTTTTCACAGAAGGGGCACGGGGTCAGAACGTGACCACAACAAACAATACAAACAAACTAACGATAGGAGTGCAACGTATAGGACAGGTAAGCAAATCACTAAAGAATACATACGTAAAATAAAGTATATATTAGTTGAAATTGCAGAAGTGCATCATTGCTGAAACTTTGGTAATGCAACAAAACAAGAGCAAGACCAACCCAGACCACACCAAGACAACACATAGGCCCTCAACAAAACTGCACGTAAAAATGTAACAATCAATACATAGTTAAGAATGAAATAATATTTTAGGTTTAATTTCAAAACATCTGTTTTCACTTGCATGCGCGTATTTGTAGATGACGTGCCTTTTACTAACCGATTTAGCTATTTCATGGGACCTCTGATGTAGATGCTCACCCCGAGCTCTCATTACTCTGATAGTGCATTGTCTTTGGGCTGAAGGCCTTTTGGCATCCTCTGGTCTAACACCGTTTGAGACTAGGCTCGAAAGAAAGCCGTCTCTGGTGTGGACCAATCAGTTTCAAAGACAATGTATATATTAAATTTTGATTTAAAGCTTTCGTGACTGCAGTAATTCATATTCTTAGCTCTTTCGGTAAAGTCACGTTGAAGGGAAACAATAAAATAATAAAATATATATGAAACAATAAAAATTATCATGACGTTTCGACCATAACACAAACGGTCGTCATCAGGTGTGTCAGTCCACATTAATTTATTTATTTTCAAACGGTGTATTTATTTATTTAAAAAACGTCAGTGCCACGCGCAGAAATTTGGCAGTTTATTTAGAAGGACTAGTCCATCTATGTTCTGAAAAGAGGAGGGGGGAGACGAAAAATGAATGTATGCTGTCTGAAAGCCACTGTAAGCATGAACAATTAATTCAGACCTGAAATGGTTAATCAAATCTTTCCAATGATTGCTAAGCCAGAATCCATCTTCTCGGTTGAAATTGTCTCTGTGCTTGTATATGTGGATAGCCTCATGAACGAATCTCTCATGGTAGCCAGATGGCTTACAAAGAACCTCTGTCTTGGAAAAGTCAATGTCATGTGAGCCTACTGAATTATAACAATGATCTGCCACGGCAGAGGTGTTGGTCCTACCGTGTTTAAGGTCTGCTTTGTGTTCACGAATGCGGTCCGAGACATGGAGTTTGGTTTCTCCAATGTAACTACTACCACAGAGACAACTTAGTTTGCAGACACCAGGGTAATGTATGTCCGGAATCACATATTTTACAGACGGAACCAGATCACGGATTTTATGTAATGTGTTGAAATGGACCTGGATCTTGTGTTTATTCAAGATTTTGGAGATCTTTTTTGTGATCCCCGCAATGTAGGGTAAAGTGATGGTTTTGAAAGGCTCTTCAAGAGGGTCCTTCTTCATGGTTTGAGTAATAGCTTTGCGGATTGTATAGTCGGAGTAACCATTAACCTTAAGAGCTTGGTGTACGTGCTTGAGTTCACTGCCTATGTGTTCCTGGTCGGATATGCATTGGGCTCTATGATACAGAGTCTTGATGAGAGAATTCTTCTGTGATGGATGGTGGTGGGAATCCGGTTTCAGATAAGCATCCGTATGGGTAGCTTTCCTGTAGACAGAGTGGCTCATTGAACCATCAGGTCTCTATTTTATTAGGACATCCAAAAAAGGTAGCTGGCCATCTTTTTCGATTTCCATTGCAAATCTGATGGCTGGGTGTATGGAATTGATGTGGTCGAAGAATTGGTCTAGAGCAGGCCGGTCATGTGGCCAGATTACAAAAGTGTCATCCACGTACCTCTTCCATAAGGTTGGGCGCAGAGTGGCAGTGTGGATGGCGTCAGTCTCAAATTTCTCCATGAAAATGTTAGCTATAACCGGAAATAAGGGGGAGCCCATTGGGGTGCCCTTAGTTTGTTCGTAGAAAGTTCCATTCCAAGTGAAATATGTATTGGTTAAACGGTGTCTCACCAGGGGCGGTACCTCAGTGTTTAGTCCTTGATGAACCAAGTCTTCAATGATTGCGATGGTGTCAGGTACAGGAACCTTGGTGAATAAGGAAACTACATCAAAACTGACAAGCAGGTCGTCTGGGGACAGGGAAAAACCCTTGATTGTCGATACCAGGTGAGTAGAATTTTGTACCACAGAGGAGGTTTTTCCAGTGAAAGGACGCAGGATTTCAGACAAAAAAACGAGCCATTTTTTAGGTGGGGGAGTTGATAGTAGAGACGATAGTACGAAGTGGTTTATCTATTTTATGTATTTTGGTAAGCCGTATAATCTTGGTGGCCTGGCAGCAGAAGGTTTCAACGAAAACTGTTTAGATTGATCAATTAATGCGGTTGAATCAGAAATTATTTTGTTGGTTTGTGTGACGAGGCTGTTGGTGGGATCTCTTTTTATTGTTGTATAACTACCATCGTCGAGTAATTCTTTAATTTTGTTGTTGTATTCTATATTATCCATGATGACAGTAGCATTGCCCTTGTCAGCTGAGAGGACTACAATATCATCCCTCTTTTTTAATTTATTTAATTCAAAACGCTCATCTTTGCTGAGGTTGCTAGTTG